AAATTTCACACAAAGAGAAATTTTGAAAATAATTTTAACTTACATTATAAACGTTTAATTTGTTTTTCAATCACATCCCAAATATTACTTTTCAATGGTATCAGAATACTCGTAGAATGTAAAATGCTATTGCTACAATTTTGACTTTACGTTAGACTTGTCAAAAAAGAATAAGTTACTTCAATTATAAAATCACAACTATATACCTCAGTCATTCCCTCTTTTTACTCTTTTATTTCCCTGGTAATTGTAATTATTACTAGGAAAATGATTTTACAAAAAGTGTATATAAATATTCTACAACGAACAATGGATTTGGGCTCCTTTTGTGGCGACCTATGTGAGCGAGTGTGTGTCGGCAGGTGTGAGACACTAGCAGATTACCACACTAGATGAGCAACATGTGTACAATCCCACATCGCCTAGGAGTGGAGGGGGTAGTGCTATATGTAGATTCAACACTCTTCTATGACACAACGCGTTCCGTGAACTCACTAAAACTCCAGAGTTAAATGTGCTTAACTTGTAGTAGCTTAACCTAAAGTAGTACTAGGCTGGGAAGTCTCTGGTCTCGGGGAGTCAAAAACAAACAATATCGTGTGGTTGTTACACCTTTGGTCCTTCCCATTCAATTCTTAAAGTATGGAAAGTGCAATTTCATCCTTATACAATTTTGAAATTTATTTTCAAAAAAATTCTTCCTGTGAGATTTAGCTAAAACCTCAACGGGTATCATTGTAACTAACCCAAATTGTAAAGTATGGAAAATGGAGGGTTTTAAAAATAACTTGCGTAACTGAAAGATATTGCATAAATGTAAGGAAGAAATTGGATGGAAAGGAGAGAAAAAGATAGGATGAGATATCTCTAAGGAAAAGATTATATCATTCTCTCTTTTTGTTTGGTTGGATGGATGAAAAAAATAATGAATTAATAACTTATTTTGTTTGTTAGGAGAGAATGGACGATAGACTGTTAATTATAAGGAAAACTTTGTAATTTAAAAACTTCTATAATACCTTTGTCTTTCTTCCATCACGTCTTCCGTCCATATTTTGAGGAATACAAATTTGTGAAGGAGGAAGGTTGACTCATCTATACTATTGTATATTCTCTCATTGACTCCTTTATACCAAACGAAGAAAATTTGTTTCTTCCTCCTTATCTTTCCTCCACCACTCTTCTTTCCTTCTTTCCTACCAAATGGAACATAAAGATGAATAAAGTGCAGGAGTTTGAATTGAAATATAATTGAAATGTTGTTAAGTTGTGTGTTAAACTAGGTTTACAAAATACATCAATGTGTTATATTTATGGAGCTCTATGATGGCAATTTCTACCAATGGTTCCCATCGAAAGTTGACACCTTCCACGTGCCATCATCAGATTTTGCCAAGTGTCCCACATTTCTCTTGTTTTTCTTAGCTTAGTTTGCATGTTTGAGACCTTGTTCTACCATTTCTAGTACTTTTATGCAAGTTTATCAATGTGATCTTCTTCGTGCCATTGGAATAACCACTTCTGTCACGTGTCCGATACTTTTAGATTTTATGCTCAACTTACAACCCACATTATTCTATTTTCTAGATGACTTTTCTTGCCATTGGAATGACCGCTAATTCAACCACGTGTTCCCTGTTTCTTTGGTTTCAGGATCATTTCTTACGGTTATGCTCGAATTGTGCCAAGTGTCCTTTTCTGCTAAATAAAAAATCTCCAAGTGGCTACGTACATCAAAATTTCTCTTATTTGGCTACAAGTGTCACCCTTTTAATAGGCCACGTGTTCAATTCTAATTAAATTATTTCCAAAGGTTATGGGAGATAGCAATAAGAATTCATTTAAGAAGCCATGAAAAAAAAAACCACCCCGTAAGTCTAGTTACTTGACACATTCATTTTTGAGAACGTGAAAAGTTTAGGTTGAAAAAAACAAATAAGATAAGGCATGTAGGAAAAATTATTATTATTATTAGTATTATTATTATTATATATATATTTTTCATAATTAGTACTCACACATACATGTCTCTACTGAGGCTTAAACCGGCCTTGACCTCCTTTTGAAAAGTAAGGACCTAATACCGCTAAGCCACCAACATGTTGGTTTGAAAAAAATTATTTATAATGTAATTTTTTTTGAAAACACATTGTTTCAAAGCCGCTAGATAGAAATGACTTCATTCGTATGTTTGTTTGTACAAAATGCTCTTTTCATCTGATGTATAATCTCAACTCACTATTCAATCAATTTTTAGTGAATTTTTTGAAACATTGTTCTAGAGATTTTTTATATATTCATTCTACCAACTTCCACAATGTTTTAATGTGTTGTTTAAAATTTTAAAGAATGCCTATAAATAAGCACATGCATTTCTGTCCTAAGACAATATCTTCTTTGCTATTTTTGAGTGAATGAGAAGAATGATATTGAACCTAACACAAACACAACTTAACTCAGAAACACGTCATCTTGCGCTTCATTATCTTAATCCTCAATCCCATAAAACATGTAAATGGAGGTCTTGAACTATTCAACTTAAATCCAGTGTCCAACGAATCCAGTCACTTTAAACCATCCTATGAATGCTTTCGTCAATCCCTTAAAATGTGTGCGTAACTCACGCTGATTTCAAGCACAATTCAGTGAATTCACTGGTAGAAGATTCTTTTTTTGGTAAGTGACAAACCCACCGCTTTAATATAGAATAGAAGCTCACGAAACCTCAACAGAACAACAAGGTGCTAACATATGTAGCAAAATTTATCGCCACACTATACACCATAAAGCCGCACAAGTTCCAACCGGAAATAACGTACCAGCTTATGAACCCTAAGAGCCAAACCCACCGTTTCATTCTCCAACCGGAGCAGTTAACAAAAGACACGCGTTAGGTTTATAAAATATACGTGTCACAATTAAATTAAATTCCTTTGCATGGATTACTGCCAGTGTGGTACGAAATATATTATATAATTTTAACCTGTAATGTGCATAATTGGATCATATATAAATATTTTAAAATTAATTTTAATTAATTATTAAAACAAAATTAATATTTTTTTGCATAGAAAAAATAGAAAGAAAAAAAAAAGCGTTGGTGATAGATATGTTGTGGAATTAATAACATTTTTATATATATATATTTTTATGTTAGATATTATATATTACAAAACTTCTATTCTATTTGGTTGGAATGAAAGATTGAGGAATGATTGAAGAGAGTAAAAATAAAAGAAACTTGCATCATTTGGTAGCAAGAGTGATGAATTGGTTCGACCCACATTTTTTCACAAGAGGGTGAAAAGAAATAAAATTTTCTTTATAAATATTAAATATCATAAAAATTCTTCAATAATTTACAAATATTACTCCATTTAAACACACTTGGTATTAATTTATATAATGATGGTATATAATGGTAAAAAGAAAAAATATAAATCAGACAAATAATAATAATAATAATAATATCACTATCTTCCATTATTTTTATGATTCCTTTCATTCAATCAAATAAAAAGATGGAGATACTAATATCTTTTCCCTTAAGAATGTCTCATTCAATTCTACCCCTTTTCCTTCATCCAATATTTTTCCATCTCTCCTCACCAATGAAGCATTAGAGACTATTTTTATTTTTTTTAATAAGCATTAGAGTATTAAAGTTTTATGCTTGTTTGGTTGGAAGGAAATATAGAGTAATGATGGAAGGATTGAAAAAGGATGCACGATGTGAAGGATGTAAGGATGTAATAAGGGTTGTTTGGAAGGAACTTGTGCCCACATTCTTTTATTCCTCCAAAATTGGGTGGAAAAGAGAAAGGAAATAAATAAAAACTGCTATATAAATATGAAATATTATTTTTACTCTACAACTGTTTTTAAAATTACTTTGTACTGTGTATCAACTTTAACAACTTTAGTGTAGACTTATTGCATTTGTTTCATCGTTAATTCTTAAAGAATTTATTTTAAATTTGTTATAATTTTAATCTATTCATTAATTATTCTTATTTTAACAAAAACTTGTGTAAAGTTTATGTAAAATATTTTTTTCACGCTTCAAATTATCTAAAAATTTAAAATTTACAAAATTACTTTGTTAACCCATACGTTGTATTAATTTACATTTTAAATTTCAAAGCTGTTAATTTTTATCCCACAACTCCTTTTACGCATAAATCTATATATTGTTATCAATTTATGGGATAATTGTTGAGTAATAAGTATTAATAATTAGTTAGTGCTGTATATTGTATTTTCTAATTATCTCTTAAAATTGATGCTTAATTTTTAGTTTTTTTTCCAAAAACATGTTGTGTTCCTCAATTTTATTTCAGATAATGTTGTTAAAGTTGATAAATGTTGTAAATGTTGCTCTTTGTACTAAAATTGCTCTGTCCAAAAATTTTGTATGATACAAATGACATAAATTTGCAAAAATAAGTATTTAACCTCATCAAAATAAATGTATTCCGTGAATTAAAGAAGTATCCTAATTAATTATGGTGCAGCAGTTTTTATATGATTTTATAGCCCTTCTACCTTGGGAGGCAAAAAAATAATAATAATAATAATTATTATTATAGTTTACAAGACTTAGAATAGTTTTATAAGATTTTAAAACGGAAAAGTGAAAATCAAATAAAAAGTAAGAATAAAAACAAATTTTATTAGTTTCAATTCACATTCTTGAATAAGTGATTCAAACAAGTATTTGAAACTCGTTTGATTAGAGAAGTCATACATGTATACTGTTTGGCTCTGTTTGTATAGTAGACCATACTGAGATTAGAAGTAGGAATATTATATAAGATTGATCAAACAACTAGTCTTGAAATCTGTAATTTTCACAAGTAATTAATTTTAGATATAACATCATCCAATACACTCATTTTAGCAAGAAAAAGAAAATACTCAATTTCTTAGAAAAAAAAATAAATAAAAAATAATAAAAAATAATAATAATAAAATAACAAACGTCAAAAACCTATCTAAATCTACGTGTTCTCCTTCAGATTGATCACAAGAGCGCTTACGTTGTCAGCAGTGCCTTTGGCCAACGCCGCCATCACTAGCAGCGCCGAAGCCTCCCAACATAACCTGTCGGAAAATAGCCGGCTCTCCGGCCAGTAAATACTGGTCGCGGTCGTAATTTCAGCAGCCCTCCCACCTGCCCAGCAATCACGAACAACGTCGCGGGCGTTCTCGTTGGACAGCACGTCCCACAGACCGTCGCTGGCCAGTATTAAAAAATCATCCATAGTGGTCCGGTCTATGACCGTCAATTCAGGTTGACAGATCACAAAAGGCTTCAAATAGTTGTCGCCTGCACAGACAACAGTATATTTATACACAAAACACACACATGCACATATGTATATGTATGTATATCAGAGTTAATTTGATTATCACCGAGCGCTCTTGACATGGCAAGAATTCCTTGTACACGGGGGCAGCCATCGTCGGAGATAACTTTTCCGCCGGCAGCTTCGATCCGCCTCCTCTCATCGGGCCGATTAGGCTGTATTGCATGACCATCAAGAAAAATATGTCAAGTGGAAATCAATTAAAAAACTAAAAAAAAATCATGACCGTCTATATATCAACACACAAACTGATGCAACAAACAGACAGAGAAGACACTAATTAACCTTTTGATCGATTGATAGTGGGAAAACGTTGCCATCCTGACAGATAACAGCCCTGGAATCACCGCAGTTTGCGATGATGATCTTAGTTGGTGTTAAGACAGCGACCAGAGCCGTAGATCCAACGAAGTAGCACATCGGCGGTTTAAGCCCGCACCCGCAGTACCATGTGCGTGAAACGTCGTCGTGTCGTATGGTACTCACCTCCCTATCCATGCGAAAGAAGCTTCGATGAATCGCCCTCACCCAGTCCGCCAATCCTCCTCCGCTGCTTTCCAACTCTTCCTTCACCACCTCATGTAATCGATCCATACATTTAATCGCCACCTACACCCATCATTCAAAAAAAAAACTTTATCAGTACAAAAATACCAAGTACATATATTACCATATGGATTTTTTATTTTGATACGTACATGAGAACATCCATGACCGTCGTAAACGCCGAAGTAGTGTAATGGGCCATCTTCATTCCGGAAAAGGGAGGGATGAACGGCCACCGTGTCTTCCATGTACCTCCTCCTCCCACACACCGAAATGAAACCGAACTTTGGTTGCAGCATCCTTGATTCAACAGGTTCATGAGTCAACATAATTGGAGGCTGATTTGAAACAGAGATCTCCCTTGTCTCCGAGTCTTCGCTATCGGAGTCGGAAACGTAGTCGTAACAGCTGTCAACGGAGTCCTCGCTGTCAAGTGAAAGCGAGGACGATGACGACGACGACGACGGGGACGGAGAGGGCTCTAGCTTCTGGCGCTTCTGCTCGTTCTCGACAAACCTGCTATGGCGAATTTCTATTCTCCGATGACGCATCTCAGCTGGCTGACTCGATTCGCAAGGTGGCGACTTCTTGTTGTCACTCGCCACATCGTAGCTCTTATCTTGCCCCATCACAAATCTCTACCACCCAAACACACCTCCTAGAAGGTTTCATCAAAAAAAAAAAAAAAAAAAAAAAAAAAACGCACCTCTCCTTCTACTAGTTGCTTCAAACTAAAAACAAATTAAGTTGTCAAATTTTATTTTCTGAAACACTGAAAATCTCTAGTTATTTTAGCGAAAGTTACAAAATTGTATTGCTCAAAAAATGAAAGTTGGAAGATGAAGAAGAGAGACGGTGAAAGACATGAACCCTCGCAAGACACATTTATAGAAGAGGATGGACGTTTGAGAAGCTTTGCGGTTCGGAGCAACGGGCAGCTGTCCATAACATTACCGGCAGCTGTCCATAACATCACCTGCCGACCTAAGACCGTGGATGACTGTCCTGATTCAGACCACCTATAAGAGGATGGGACGGGCTTGAGTCTAGGCCTCAGCCCATATCCTGGCCCGTAAGCTTATCCAACATTCTTGCCCACAAAAATCTATAAGCCCATTATGCGTAATAACTAATATAGAAATTATATACTTTATTAGACTGAATGTTGTCTTTAACAAAAAAATTGTATGTATGTTTAGCCCGTAGTCCAGCCCGTTTAGAGCTTGGGCCAGTTTCGCCCGTTGAAAAGTCAAAATCCGTCGACTCTAACCTGGACGGGTCTGGGTTTCCTCATACTGTGGCATTGCCCAGCCCGTTATGCACCAATCAATAAATTAAAAAGAAAAAAAAATGGTTCCATCACTATAAAACATATTGTGTTGGATATATGAATATTGGGTGGGGTCCACTTGTAATAAACATATTTTGCAGCTTGTTGAAGAAGCTATTTGTTGTCCACTTGTAATCAACATATGTTGAATATAAGAGCAGCTAGCTTGTTGAAGACGCTGCTTGGTGCCCCCGCTTTTGGTTGCTATAAATTGGTACATATGTATGCGATTGTGAACTGAAGAAATAGAAAAAGGGCAATCTCTCCCTTTCATCTCTTGCAGTTTTCTCTCTTAATATTCTCACTTTATATTACTCTGTCTCTCTTTATATATATACACACGCATATATTTATTATACGTTATCAGCACGAGCTCGATCTATCTGAGATTTGAAGAAGAAGCTTTCTCTCCCAACTATATATCTATTTTGTAATATTAGTTTTGATAGATTGGTTGGTTGGTTTGTTTTATCAAATAACATTGTATTCCTGACTGCAAAGGGTAATAAAATTTTAATTATGGATTATTATTCATAAAATAAAGTTATTCACTTAAATGATATATGTACTTACACTATGGTCGGTTCTACCACCTTGATTATTTAATGATCTATTAATTATGGTTGGTCTTACCACTTTTATTATTTAATGTTTTATGGCTGGTTTTACCGCCTTTATTGTTTAATAATTTATTTACTATGACTGGATTTATCATCTTTGTTATTTAAATAATTTATATTATGTTATTATTTCATTTAATGTCATTTTATTTTATATACTATGCTAAATTATATTTTTATATTGTTGTCACATCTAGTTATTCTGAAAATGTCAAATTTGACAAAGCTGGAATTCGTGGCCCTGGATATTTCTGGCAAAAATTATTTATTTTGAATTCTGGATGCTCAGATCCATTTGGATGCCATGGGCCTTGGATACACAATCAAAGAAAAAAATGATGCATCATTACAAGATAAAGCAAAGGCCATGATTTTTCTCCGACGCCATATTAGTGAGGAACTGAAAACTGAATACCTCACTGAAAGAGATCCATTTTGTTTGTGGAACAATTTGAAAAAAAGATATGATCATCAAAAAACAATCATCCTCCCTAAGGCAAGGGCTGATTTGCTGCAACTGAGGTTGCACGATTTTAAAACTGTGGCTGAATATGACTCTACTTTATTCAAAATCAGCTCTACATTAAAATTATGTGGTGATACTGTTACTGATGAACTTTGCTGGAAAAAACATTCACCACATTTCATACCTCGAATGTACTCTTGCAACAACAATATCGAGAGCGTAGATTTAAAAAATATTCAGAGCTGATATCATGTTTGCTTGTGGCAGAGCAAAATAATGAGCTTTTGTTGAGAAACCACCAGTCCCGTCCAACTGGATAGACACCGATCCTTGAAACATATATTGCCTCATCCCGTGGTCATGGACACGAACGTGGACGTGGTTGAGGTGGTAGAAATGGCCACAATAATGAATATGATCGTGGTAAAAATAACTACCATAATAATGAATATGGTCGTGGTAGAAGTCATTCTTATTACCGTGAAGGATATCAATCCTCACATTTCCACAATCAGAAATCCACACCATATCCTCAAAGGAAATATCATAATGAAATGAGACAAGTAAAAGGGAATGTTGTGGCTCAACCTTCCAAGGCTCATGATAATACTTGTTACCGATGTGGAATGACGGGGCATTGGCAAAGCATTTGTCGTACACCTAAGCATCCGGCTGACCTTTACCAAGCCTCAATGAAAGAAAAAGGGAAACAAAAGGAAATGAATTTCCTTGATCATGATGAGTCAGTTGACACCACAAATCTGGAAATGAATTTCATTAATCATAATGAGCCAGTTAACATCACAAATCTAGATGTATTAGATTTTTTTGAGGACCGTGATGAAAGGATAAACTTCCTGATTGGTGATGGAAATGTCCACACCAATTAATCTTATTTTCTTTTCATATTCTGTTTACTATGTTTTTGTTTTTTTCTTGTATTAAAGTTTTTATCTTCTAGTTTGTATTAAAGTTTATTTTGTTATAAAAGTTTCTTTTCTGATAAAGAAATTTGCATGCATAGGAATGGATTTGACTAGTTCCAAAATAAATTGAGAAGATATATGTCTTGCAGATAGTGGAACGACACACACAATCATTCGAGATCAAAAATATTTTTCTCACTTAACTCTGACAGACGCTAGTGTCAGTATAATATCAGGTCCCACCGACTTGATTGAAGGTTCCGGACGAGCCAACATCATTTTACCACATGGAACAAGATTACAAATCAATGATGCCTTATATTCTACAAGATCTCGGAGAAATCTGTTGAGTTTTAAAGATTTGCGTTGTAATGGGTATCATATTGAGACTACAAATGAAAGAAATGTGGAATATCTCTACATTACTTCTATTACCTTAGGCAAAAAGCTGATATTAGAAAAACTCCCTGTTTTCTCTTCTGGGTTACACTATACAACCATTAGGACAATTGAGTCAAATGCTGTGATCCATAAAAAATCTTGTGGCCCAAAACTTTTTATACTTTGGCATGATCGACTTGGTCACCCGGGGAGTACAATGATGCATCGAATTATTGAAAATTCACATGGATACCCACTAAAAGATCAAAAAATCATCTTACCAAATAATCATCTATGCACTGCCTGCTTACAAGGTAAGTTGATTATCAAACCATTCCCTTCAAAAGTCATTATTGAGTCTTCTCTATTTTTACAACAAATTCACGGGGATATATGTGGGCCAATTCATCCATCCTCTGTACCATTTCGTTATTTTATAGTCTTAATTGATGCCTCAACACGATGGTCACATGTTTGTCTACTTTTTACTCGTAATATTGCATTTGCTAAACTTCTTACTCAAATTATCAAATTACAGGCACACTTTCCTGATTACCCAATTAAGACAATTCATCTTGATAATGTCGCTGAATTTTCTTCTCAAGTTTTTTATGATTATTGCACGTTAGTTGGAATTAATGTTGAACATCCTGTTGCACACACTCATACTCAAAATGGTATGGCTGAATCTTTTATTAAAAGATTTCAGCTAATTGGTCGTCCTTTGCTTATGTGAACAAAATTACCTGTTTCTGCCCAAGGTCATGCCATATTACATGCTGCATCATTAATTCGTATACGACCAACTGCTTATCATAAATACTCACCATTGTAACTTGTTTTTGGTCAACAACCAAATATTTTTCACATACAAGTTTTTGGTTGTGCTATATATTTTCCAATTGCACCACCCCAACGCACTAAAATGGGTCCTCAACGTGGACTTGGAATTTATGTTGGTTTTGATTCTCTATCTATTATTAGATATCTTGAACCACAGACAGGTGATGTCTTTAAAGCACGATTTGCTGACTGTCATTTTAATGAGACTGTTTTCCCACCATTAGGGGGAGAAAAGGCACAGTAGCAACATGATCTTACTTGGAATGCCCTGAAATTGTCTCATTTTGATCCTCGCTTAAATCAATGTGAACGAGAAGTTCAGAGGATCATTCACTTGCAAAATGTTGCAAATCAATTTCCTGATGCATTTACTGATACAAAGAAAGTAATAAAATCACATATACCAACTGCAAATGTGCCAGCACGAATTGCTGTCCCTGAGGGACCTTCTATCAGTAATGCAGCAAATGCATCTAAAACATGCCTGAAGCGTGGTAGACCAGTTGGTGCAAAAGATATTGTTCCTCGCAAGAGGAAATCACATGCCACAAAAAGAGTAACAGATGTTATTGATCAATCTGAGATAATAGTTTTTGATAAAGCAGAGGCTCTTGATGAGTCTCAGGTACCTAAAAATGATGAAATAATAAATAATGAGGCAAAGGCAATAGATGATGATATGACCCTTGATGAGGCACATGCCCTTGATGAGGTAAAGGTACCTGAAAATGATGAGATCTCATTAAATTATGAAACGAGATAGAATAGAAATGAAATTGTTGTCGACAACATATTCTCATATCTCGTTACTCTTGATATTGATAATGAGGATCTGGAACCTCAAAACGTTGAAGAATGTCGACGAAAAAATGATTGGTCAAAATGGAAAGAAGCGATACAAACAGAGCTAAATTCATTAGCTAAACGTGAAGTATTTGGACCAGTAGTCCAGACACCTGAGGGTGTTAATCCTGTTGGGTACAAATGGGTGTTTGTACGAGAGCGTAATAAGAAAAATGAAATCGTGAGATACAAAGCCCGACTGGTAGCTCAAGGTTTCTCACAGAGACCTGGTATTGATTATGAGGAAACATATTCTCCTGTGATTGATTCATCCACATTTAGATTTATAATACATTTGGCAGTCACAGAAAGATTGCATATACATCTAATGGACGTGGTTACAACATATTTATATAGATCATTAGATAGTGATATTTATATGAAAATCCCAGAATGATTTAAAATGCCTGAAACAAAACCACGTAATATGTACTCAATAAAATTACAACGATCCTTATATGGATTGAAGCACTCTGGACGAATGTGGTATAATAGCCTTAGCGATTACTTACTCAAAGAAGGGTATGTGAATAG